TTATTATTATTATTATTTTTTATTTTTTTAATGGATCATGTGATAGCTTCCCATTAAGGTTCCCCCAATTGCAAAATCCTGGTTGTCAGGCATGTGCATGTTTTTTAAAGGTGCAATGTGTAAACATTTTGAGTATCTATTAACAGAAATGCAATATGACATACATAACTATGTTTTAAGTGGTGTATAAAGAACTTTCTTAATAAACCATAATGTTTTTATTACCTTAGAACAAGACATTTATATCTACATAACCGCAGGAATCCCCTTCTATGAAGGACGATCCCCTTCTATGAAGGAGGAGTTTTCAAAATCAGAGAAAAAAAGCCTATTGTGCGTAGTAAATGATGTCTAGGGGATGCGGAGGCACGCGCAATGTTATAATCATGTCATTTTTGCCACACACACCTTTGGGCTTATGCGGACGCGTCGAGTTTAAAAAAGGCTATACACTTTAACCAGTTCAGCCATAGTAACAGCTCATATTAGCTAAACTTTTACTACCCTGTTAGAAAAAAAATATATCGTTGCATAGTTTCATGTGGTTCTTCTCCCTCGCTGTATTATGGGTTTGCTATGTGGGGTGAAATTTGCTGGTTACGTTTGTGAGACAATCAGCTGATTACTATTAAGGCCCTTGATCCTTACCTGACTATGGCTTTGTAAACTTTATCCATGATGTGGTTTCTAATGGACCATGGTACAGAAACAGTAACAATGTTACACACTCTTGGCTTACTCTGGCTATTCTCTGCTGTCTCAGATGACGATATGTTTGTCCCGTTTTAGCCACCGTAGCTTCTTCGAAAGGGAGGGGTGAGCAGTGGGCTGAGCCCTTAGTGCAACTCGCAACCGAACAGACAGGATCAAAATATACACAAATACTTCGTAAAACGTTCCGATCCTTCGCACTATACAATGAACATAATACATGAATGACCTGAACTTCTATAGATATCCCTTGCTTGTTGTAATAGGGAGGAATGAACACTGTGTAGGGACCCTGTGAATTAGGCTGCAGTTATGCATAGATTAAAATGCCTCTGCACACCTCCAAATTGAAATGGTGTGATGTACATGATCGCAGATCATAAATCCTGCATTGCTCTTTTTTTACAGATAAATACAAAAACTAGGTAAAACCTAAAGGATTAAGGTTACCAGCCAATATTTAGGGGCTGTTTACATTTGCATGTGTTGCCACAGTCTGTATGCGTGTTAACTTTACGTGAGATGGTAAGGGACGGCACCAACAGAACGAGTGTAAAATGTCAGTGGGATCAGAGCTGTGAAAGACCGGACAAGTGATTTATGGGTAAATAAAAAGGTGCAAATTTTGTAATAGGACCCCTGTGGAGGTGGTCAGGGCTAAGGTGTACATATGGGTGCATTTGTGGAATTGCAGTAACGTGACTATGCGAATATGCATTTACGAGAATGTGTCCAACGATGTGTCCAAATAAATCATAACTTCGTAAACCTAAAATCGTAAACCTTCGATATCGATGCTTAAGCAGGTCAGCAAGTCTATGCACTGTATACCCGAGATTGCCACACTGCACTCTGATTTACACATTTAAATCCCAATCATTTGCAAAGGAGATGTTAAAACTTTGACCTGAATAGTGTGTATTTGGGTGTGTGGAATGAAAGGGGTAGGGAGGAGGTGTATTCATCCTACCAAATAAAGCCACAGCAACTCACCCTGAAGTTAATCGCTAAAACAGATGGAGAGGCTGCCTCCACAAACACACGAGGAGGAGATCTGAAGCCACCGTCAGATATGGACACCAAATTGCGCATTACCCATATAACGCTCATTTAAAGTTTACAAAAAGTTTTTTTTTTTTTTTTTTTATAATTATTTGCTTTTATTTTATATTTTAATTGAGAAATTAAAAAAAGAGAATAAATACTAAAATCAAGATCCTAGATTTTTTTCAGGCTATCACATCACATGATCCTTCTGCAAAAAAAAAAAAAAAAAAAATCTAAAGCTGATTTAATATGAAACAACTCTTAATATCAATGTGAAATCCGTTGTTCTGCCTAATATTTTTGTAGAAACTGTGATAGTTTTGTTTTATAGAATTCTTTAATGAATTTGAAAGATAAAAAGAACAGCATTATTTCAAAATGGAAATATTTTGTAACATAATAAATGTGTTTACTGATACTGTCTTACAGACCTTAACCTTTTGAATGGTAGTGTACACAAGTAAACAAAGAATTTCATGTATTAACATTTTTTATGTTATAGAAAAGTAGTACAACAATCTCAAAATGTCCATCCCACGTTCGTCAGTTAATCTAAATCACTTACATATCCTATGAACAAAATATTTATTAAGCTAACAAACACGTTTTGGTTGTTTAATTTAAAAAAAATCTAATTTAAAAAAAAAAGGAGGAGAAAGGAAAAAATGAAGAAACTGCTGTTTGTGATTGTGAAAAATGGTTTAGTACAATATGTAGCCACTAGGGATGTACCGAAATGAAAATTCTGTGTCGAAACCGAAAATCCTGGACGAACTTAGCCAAAAAATGAAACTGACGGTTTTTTTTAGTAGCCGTTAATTTAAGCCATTAGTCGAATAATTTCACAACTTTATTAATTTAATTAAAATAGATTAAATTATATATATATATATATATATATATATATATTCATATTTAATTAATGCTTCTATGTCTTGCAGTCAGCACACACTCCACACAAACAGTTGGATATGCGCCTAATAATAGAACACATTCATCTAGGTTAACGTTAGTGAGCAGTCACGTAAAGTTGTTACTATTTACATGTTTCAAATGATATGCCATTTTTAAGGTCGACAAATGATGAGTGTTTGTATTTCCTGTCAACATACTGTAATTACCATATGGCCCCGCCGTTAACGATCTGTGTATCACACTGCATGACTTCACTACTTCCTGTGGAATTTTTTTTTTGTTTTTTTTTTATGCATCTTTGGAAGTGGTGCGACTTCCAAAGTTACCAAAAATGCTGCGCGTGGGGGCCGGGATATATTTTCAGCCTTTTTTCTCTTTCGCCCAAAAAACAAAAATGGCATTTTCGGCGGCCAAAATTTCAGTGCATCCCTGATAGTCACAGCAGACCATGGGTAGACTTTGTAACTAATATATGAAGCTGTTTTGTATAGGGAGTGAAGACCAATCAGTGCACACCAAGTTGCCCTTATTTGTGTATGAACCCTCAAGAGTCCTAAGCCAAAATTCTGTAGAGACGCTTCAGGCAGCTTCATTTCCTCTCTTCACCTTTTCTCCCTCCCTCTCATCTCCTCACTATTGTGTTCTGTCATTTATCTATTTTATGGGATTATCGAGGCGCTTCTCCCCTGCCCGCAATTCATTACGCTCCTAACTGCTCACTTAGGTTTATGCCCCTTTAAATCCCCCAACAGATAACCAACCAGCCTCGGTAAACAGATAGAGAGGGAGGGAGAGATAGAGAGAGAGAGAGAGAGAGACTGGTGGGCACTCATCAGAGAAGGAATTAAGAGGTGTCACGCAGCAGTGGCCATGGCAGTGAGGAGAGGCAGTTAGTGGTGGTTTTTAACGCGGCTGCCCTCTTTCTCCTCATTAGTAATTCAATTTGCTCTTTATTAGCCACTCTTATCTCCTGCACAGAGTCCCTCTGGCTAACCCCTCCATCACCCACCCTGTCTTTCCCGCTCGCCCCTCTCTCTTCACATCCAACCAAAAAGACACATCACCTGGCTGTATTGGAACAAAACAAAACTTCCTATTTCAAGACCTTGTTGGCAATAGTAAGGCAGTGATACTGACACTAATGTGCAGAAACAGGCCGCAAGCGAATACGGTGCAATTGTCAGTTTGCCTTCATTGGGATGGGGTGGAGGGGGTGGAGTTGGCTGTAAAAACAGTGATTGCTTTCCATCAGGTTGGGCTTATATTCTCCAGTTCGTTAAAACAATCCAATTTGCAAAGGGATAATTACGCATTAGCTCCTTTTTATCTACTGAGCGAGAGCGCTGGCAGGCTTTGATAGTGTAGCCGTATACGGCGAGCCACTGCTGCAAATTACCCGCTATCGGCACATGTACACCATCACGGCCCGATTGGGCAATTAATTAACTCCTCCTATCCCCAACGGATACGAGCCATCACACTCAAACCTACTCCCTCTTAAACCAATCAGGCTGTTGAGATCATGCTGCCCTCTGTTGGTCAGACAATAGTCTTAATTCATGATATTCCCCATTTAGGGGATTTCAGACAAAAGAAAAACCTCTGCAGAGACTAAACATGGTCACATGTGTTAAACAGTTATAAAGTCTGTGAAAAGCCAGAAATGCTACCCGTGACCATCATATACTACGCAATTTTATTGCAAACTTTGTCAAATATAGAAAGCCCAAAATCTAAAAAATGGCTCTGTTGTTCGGAAAAATGTCCAGAATGCAAATCAGGACAAAAGTTGAGTAGTGTATTAAAAAATTGCATAAGTTGTGAGAACAATAAAAGGGTAAGCAATGCCTGGTATATTCATTTGGATATATTAAACTAGCCTAATTAAAATAACAAATTAGAAGAAGAAAAAACATGGGAACACGTGTTACATTCTAGGGTCAGGCTGCGATATGAGGACACTCTGTGTCCAACTGATAGACAGTGCAGGCAAGTCTCTAAGATTGACAGGAAGTAGCAAAGATTTCCATGATATCATCTACATTAGGACTTTATTTTCACACCAGTACTCCCCAGTGTACAGTTCATCTAAGCTGAAGGTTTGTGTTTCCATGGGTACCTAAAGTCCATCTCAAACCCTCTCAGAGGAATATAAACAAAGCGGCGATAATTAATTTTCCAGAGATTGTTTTCGTTAATTACTAATTAAGCCTATTAGTCACAGAGGGGGTAAAAACAATCTGTTCCTATAAAAAGGCAGAGGTAAAGTTGCATTGCATTTTGAGAGTTGCAAAGCATTTTGTGAATGTGCAGTCATAGTAACTGACCTGATCTGGAGGTCCCTAATGAGGTGGCGGTGAGAGAAAGGCGGCGGAGCTTGTGTCTGCCAAATGAAACCAGAACTTTGGGCTGTGCTCGTCTGGCATTGGTTGGAGACTTCACCTGAGCATGTGTCCGTCTCCACAAAGAATATCGGCTCCTGATAGTCTGCACAATAGGGCTGTATCTTCTCTCTAAAGAGGGACTGCATATAGACAAACATGCATTAAATACTGTAAAAAGTGATTTTTATTATGTCATAAAAGTAAAAAAAAATAAAAAATAAGAGTATGGTTAGTTTGTTCAACTGAAGTGCTGCCATCTAGAGGACATTAAGAACAATACTGCTACCAGCTGTGACATTTGCAAATAATAATCATTTTAGACTTTAAAGGGATCATATAATACTGCAAAGTTTCAGCACTTTTTGATAAAATATGCTGCAAATTGTTTCTAAGTTTAGAATTAGTAAAAAAATGTAATCATAGAGAATACTCACAAAGACTCACACAGCCTATGAAATTTTTATAGATTTAATTTTTATATTATATATAAGGTTCTTCAATTTTATAGTTAAAGTAAATAAAGTTAATAACAGTGTAAAATAATTGTTCATACTGTACATTGCAATGGTGTAATGTCTAAATGTATAGGTATGTAGCATTTAAAACAATTGATTTTATTTTTGTTAAGCATTTTACTTTTCATTAATTTAGTCAAATAGTATAACATTTTTTACATCAGTCATTTAGCAGATATAGGCCATTACATGAAAATAATTATCTGTATATATTATCGGGCCGCCAAAAATTTCTAAAATGATTCATAACATCCCACATCCAATAATCTTAAAGGGCGATTCACACTGCACCAACAGATTCTGACAAACGCAGACAATCACCAGATAATAATATTATACAATTTCTCAGGGTATGTTTACATAACAATGATGTAGGCTAGGCTACTAAAACAGAAAAAGGTTTCCTTTGCGTTTTTGCGCATACAGACAACAATGTTGTCAAAACGAACCCCGTTCACACAGATCCGCAAAAAAAATGACTAAAAACAATGTATTATGCATGCCAGGCCAGCAGTTGGCGATGTCACTTTGTAATGAAACACTATGCACCAATAGACCTTATATAGCCCCACCCCTTTTTAGCTCTGCGCTCGTTGTCTTTCGTCTTCCGGTCTGTATTTTCGCAGTGATCTTGCATATTTATGAATGAATGGCTTGTTTTTACTGACATTTGTTAAGCCATCTGCTTTAAACATTATTACAATCCTCATGATAACTTTTGTTAACTTTACAATAAGTAAAGTAGCAGCTAATTACGACTGGACAGCAATGTCATAGGCCCCGTCCACACTACTGCTTTTTCGTTTAAAAACGGAGAATTAAAACGAATTCGATCTCAGTCCACACCAGCGTTTTATCTGCGCATTAGAAATGATCTCCGTCCACATTAAAACGACTGAAAACGCGGATCACGTGACCATTCACCAACACTGGGCATGCGCGTGCCGGTGTAAACAGGGAATGACGAATCAGGGAAGGATACGATAACACCCAATCATGGAGCCAAGCGTCAGCCCCTGCGTCAGCGTTTCTGAAGTCCTACGTTTTGTCCCGTCTACATTAAAACGCCCTCCAGCGATTCAAAACGCAAAACGGAGCTGCAGCGTTTCTAAACTTCTCCATTTTAGGTCTTCGTTTTTCCCGTTTTAGTCTGGACGGGAGGTGCAAACATAGCAAAAGGTCTTTAAACGAAAACACAGTAGTGTGGATGCGGGGCCATAGAGATATAGCCTACAGAGGTTCAAAGACAATATTGTAAAGATGGCTATGCGCTTGTTTCTCTGGCTCATAAGGTCTATAGAATGAGCATGTAATATGCATGTGAATGAAATTCACTTTTCTGTTTTCACAAAATCGCAATTTTAAGGAAACTGTATATTTTTTTTCTTAAGTTTGTGTTTTCAGGCCCCAGAACTGTCATGTTAATGAATGGCCAAACGCATAAAAAGTTTTGGGGTTTTAGTTAAAAATGCTGTAGTGTAAACGCCGCCACAGATATTTCACAACACGACAAACAGCAAAAACACCGACAATGACAAGTGTAAAACACTGATCCAACAAAACCAGATTAAGTGTCTGTGGGTGTAGTGTAAACTGGCTGTAAAGCAGAACTCACTTGCTAACAGATTTTCTGATGATCTTGGTTTGGCTCCTGAGCTTGAAGGCACCAGGTGACAGTAGAGTGGTAGTGGGGTAAATTCGGGCTGAGCTTGAGGACACAGCAGATCCTTTTTCCCCCTTTTGAGCATTCTTATTAGAGGTCCATCGATACACTGTGCTCTTATGGGTTGTCCTAGAAGTTGAGCTAGACACATTTGCTGTCGCATTTTGTCCAGCCGCCTTCCAGCGATAGCGACTAGTATGTGGAGCATGGGATGTGGTAGCACTAGCTCTAGATTTTTTGGATGAATTTGTCGAGGTTGTGCCGTATCTCTTTTCTTTTTTGTGTCCCTCCAGTCCACCTTGAGAGGTTCTAACAGGGATTTTAAGAGATTTGGGCGAAAGAGGCTTGCGTAGCATTTTCGTTGAGGTGTTTGCTTTTCCAGCTGTTGACAAGGAACAAGATGAAGACACCCATGTGTACTTTGAGGTCTTAGGAGCTCCAAGGGAAAGAGACAGAGGCTTGCGAGACACCCTCTTGTTCGAACTGGAGACTCTTCTGACAGTGGCTGTCCCAGGAGAGGATTCAGGGGCTGGGGAGAGAGAATTCACTGGCCTAGGTGTACTTTTTATGTTTACCATTTCTTGGTTTTTCACCCAAGTAAAACGAGATCTCTTATGGCATGGCGATGCTATACATTTCTGAGTTGAGTCTGGCTTAAGCTGTAACTTTGTGGGACTCAGGGTAGCCTGAGACTGAAGGTTAGAAGTAGAAGAAGCCATAGACAAATCTTTATTAGCTGATGGCAATACGACAGTCCTATTGGATATGGCAGCAGTGGGGAGGTGTGGTTTGACTTGAAGTTGAGCTGGAAGTTTAACAGTTGAAGGGATAGAGGGACTCTTCACAGCTGAGGATGATTTCAAAGTGGGTTTTATCTTCCTTTCAGGAACTGATGATGAAGTAGAGTCAGTTAGTTCATTGGTAGATGGACAGCCATGATTGGTTTTTCCTGTTGCAGATATAAGCACAGTCCTTTTCGCACTGGCGTCACTTTTCCTCTCTTTTGAAGTTTCACTTTGGACATTTGAAATCCCTGAATATGTCGAAGATATACTTTTTGTTTGTTCAGTTGTCAACTTTTTAAATGAAACACTGTTATTCCCAACAAGTCCAACATCATCCCCAGTAGCAGTGGCTCCAGATGTAGCAGTGCATTGAGGATGCTGATTCAGGTGGTCCAGAGCTGGTTGACACTCCTGACTCCCAACAGCCCTGTTTGTCTTGTTGTTGAGGGAGTATGTTTTCCTCCAGCTGCCAGAAGAACGAGGCACATACGGCTGTGGCATTGATGAACATGACTGTGTGTAATGTGAGGCATGACCCTGACTCTGGCCCCTCCTTGAACCATGCCTGCCATTATCCCACTGGGCAGAGCTTGAGGGAATGTCACCGTGAGTACTTTTATAGTCATTAATGAGGTCTGCAAAGTCAAGAAGTGGTATGAAATTAGATAGCATTCAAAGTCATGAGATTAAAAAGGAGTCAGATAAACTTATTATTTCTGGAATAGATTTTTTCAGTGGTATCTTTCCATTTTAAAATGGCCAGTTTTGTAAACTATTAATTTATTTTAAATACTTTAAATACTAAAAACTTGAAATTCAAAGAGTTAGAATTCAACTCTTTGAAATAATATAGATAACTACAAAATCAAATGCAGAGTATATCATTAAACCGAAATTTAAGAATATATGCATACATCATAAAACATTAAACCCTCTGCTAGAATATATTGGATTAATTTTATTTAATCTGCCTTACATGTCACAATACATTTTTATATAACTGTGGTTTCATTCAAAAGCCACCAAAAAAGCAATGTGACAGCAGTCTGAAGTAAATCTAACGTTATATAAAATAGAATATTATTAAACATACCAAATGACAGATAAGCAAATATAGACATTCATCATATCTTTAAAGTGGATTTAACTTCACTTCCTGCCTTTGTCCTGTATATTTCTGAACCTGATCTACTGCAAGCAGCAAATAACTACCAACAGTGAGGAACATAAATATTAGTATGGAAAAGAAAAACATAAACATCTTAAAAGGTGTTGTATAACGTTACAGGGTTGTTTTATCTTTAGTGAAAACCCGTTAGGTCAACCACACTGTTACTGAAACCTCCTGTACATGCGGCTAATAACGAACGTAGAGTTTGGGGAAATGCTGAAACCACTGTTAAATTACGCTAGAAGAACGATATATAAATAAAATGTCACACTTACTTTGTAGCTCCTCTATTTCTCTCTTTAGCGCTTCACGTTCAGCCATCTTCACGCCAAAACAAGGCTGTCATAAAACTGCGACGACGCCTTTGATTACGTTGAGAAACAACATCCAATCACAACACGCCTGTAAACGGATGACTCTTTAGTTTAGTTTTGCTTTGAGCTCTATAAACTGCGCCTGGTTGTAAGAAACTTTACAGACCGACGTCAACAGAGTAGTTTCATTTAGACTTAAACTTCCGACAATCACATCATTATTCTAGAAACCTTTTAGGTGTATTTCTTATTTGAAAGAAGATTTATAGTTTTTTTTTTTTTTTTTGTTTTTTACGAGATTATTTTTTGGAAACAGAAATCGAAAGTACTATGTTTGACATCGTTAGGTAAGTGATGCGCATATAATTTTTAATATTATTTTTAATTTAATGATGTCGCTTCAGAGTAGCTAGTTCATCTATTTAAAAAGTTAGTTTCATCAGCCATACCAGATCAATATATATCAATGAACTATTAACAAACAAAACGCACTATCTCTAACTGTTTTGCTGGAAGTGTCTAACGTTACACAACTCTTTCGTCTACCGGCGCAGTTGTTTTAAATGACTAACTTTTGTTAACTTGGAGGTATCTGAATGACGTTCCTCTACGGGAAAAATAAGCTTTGCTCGAAGTGAGCAAATAACTGAAGACTCCAGTGCTAGACCCTTGCCCATTAAGGAAACACTGGTGTCAACCTGATCTGTCATACTTCAGTTTTCCGAGTGACATAAGATATGGCTTCAGCCGACAAGAATATATACTTCATTGTAATTGCAAAACCGTCAATGGGGTTCATAGAAGCTGGTGAAATATGCTTCATTGATAAGGATCTACATGCGGAATGGAAAAAGGGAAACAACACAAACCCTTTACCTGTATCTTGTATGGGCAAAGCAATGCATACAGACATTGATATACTCCTACTGAGACCATTGTCACTCAGATCAGCAGAATTTCTGCTGGCTCTTGAGTCCAATAAAGAGCGAATGGTTGCACTGAGCGATCCTAAGGCTTTAGAGGAGGCTTCAAATCTGTCCTTTAACAGTCAGGTTTACGTGGAGTATAAAGGGAAATGGCTCAAAGGTGTGATTCGATACATTGGAAATATCAATTCTTGTATCTTTGGACATATTACAGGAGTCTTCTTTGGGGTGGAACTGCTGGTGAGTAGTTTGTGTATGTGAGTAAGAATGGTAGTTGTGTTAAAGAAGTTGAGCAATGCAAATGAGCTTAATCTACTGAGGGTAATATGAATGTCCTATATTCTTTTCTGTTCTTAGGGTGAAGATACAGGGAAAGGTCAAAATGATGGTTCCTTCCTCCGCAAGACCTACTTCACATGTCCTCAAAACTCAGGCATTTTTGCCCCTTTTACAAGAATCAAACCAGTGGATCATAAACCTTTAGCATCACCATTATCTACTCATTCTTCCCCATTCATGGCATCTACTGAGCCTCTCAATGTTGGAGACAGAGTAACCTTTTTTGGTGACAAAAATGCACACCATGGTATGGTTATGGATATAAAGGACAGCCCAGATGGTAAAATGGTTCTTATATCTACCGTGAGTACTGACTTCTCATTAGAGTGATCCAAATTAATAGTTTGCCCAAAAATAAATAGTTTACTTACTGTGGTTCTAACCCTGCTTGACTGGTCAAACACAGAAGTGGAAATTTTGAAGAATTTCACACATGAGGGTGATAAAATGACAACAGAAATGTTATATTTGAGTGAAATATTTCTGTAACACTCTCTTTGAACACTTTCCTTAGTGCTGAAGATAAAACTCAGATACTTTATTAATCCCATGAGGGAAATTTTGAGATGTAACAGCTGCATAAATTTACTAACAACAGGTCAACTAAATTTAAATTAAAAGAATATTACAGATCTGCATCAAAACACTGATTATTAAATAAAGATGTTTACATAAGAAAAACAATGCCATACAAAGATGAGTTTTAATACAGTGTTATAATAAAAGGTCAAAATGATTTCCTAAAACGTTCCTCTTCTTAGGATAAAGATGAAGAGGGGAAGCAAGGAGGAGAGCTGTTAGTCCCATTGGATTGTGTAATTAAAGAGGAGCTGTTAAATAAAGGTAACATAAGTATGTGTCGCCACATGTACTTATAACACAAGTATTAGGACATAGGCATACATGAACAATATTTTTTATCCTTTCAATATAAATGAGTTAGTTTCTTAAAATACTTCTGCTTTTGTTTATTTGTGATCAGATGAAACTGAAAAAATGGACACTTCTCAAAGCCCAGACATGGGGGGTGTTCCTCATTCTGAAGAAATTTCTGTTGGCTCCCTAGTACAGTTTATTGTAGGGAAAAAAATAGCTTATGGAATTGTCCGCTGGATTGGATTTTTACCTGGTTATCCTGAGAAGAGTGTTTTGCTGGAAGTGGTAGGCAATAATATACTTTATCACTTTTCATCAGCCAGCCAATTGTTGAATTCTTTTAAAAATCTATGTATTTGTTCTTAGGAGGAGGGCAAGGGAGTGAGTGATGGAACATATAAAGGAAAACAATACTTTAAATGTCCTCCTCAAAGTGGTATATTTGTGAAACTGTCAACTTGTCGGCCTGATGATCGTTTCTCTGATGCAAAGGAGAAGGGTTTTAATGGAAACTCTGGTAAGACCTGATTATCTAATGAGTTCTCACCTAGATTTTTTGACATTACAACGTACCTGAAACGTGTGTGTCAGGTGTTTAGCAGTAGACACTGAAACATTTTCAAGGACTGCACTGGTAGATTATGCCCACAATATATGTCATCACATGCTGTAGTGCAACTTATGGAACTGTACTTTTGTGCCTCATTCTTTATTTTTTTCTATCTATCAGATAAAACATCTGCATATGTGGATGAGGAGAATGTACCACCTATTAGTACAGAAGATGTGGCAAAGCGATTGATTGGTCAGATGAAGGGCATTCAGGGTCACTGCAACTCCTGTTATATGGACTCTGCCCTGTTCAGGTTAGAACTTATAGACCCTTGGTTGAAGATGAAAGAGTTATACACTTTGGTGATTACATGAAAATGTAATGTTTTTTACAGAAAACCTTTTAATGAATGTAGTGTTATTCAGTGTGATTTGAATTGCCCCATTAACAATTACAAAAGTAAAATCAACATCAACATTTTCTTTTTTTTCATCCAGTGTGTTTTCCTGTTCATCAGTTCTGGATTCTCTGCTTTTTAAGTCTACACAAGATCAAAAAATTCAAAACATCCTACTGAAAAACATTGTCAATCCTCTCCGCAAGTGAGATTTCAGCTTTGTATTGATTTTTTTATTTTTTTTTGTAAAATTGAAATTTGAAAGAAGTTTCAGTCACAGGCACATACATATGGGAGAGCTCGAATAACCACATATTCTCTCATATTTACAGGCATGGTTTTGTACCAGACTGCAGTGTGATGAATCTTCGGAAGCAATTACAAAATCGGGAACGCTGCCCCACTTACACCACAGATGAGAAGGGTACGCTTTCTTCTTGATGTCATAGCCGCATTCAGCTTTGTTAACTATGTCAGATTTCAAACAGAATATTGAAGGAAAATGTCCAACTTTACATTTCTCTGCAAGTCATCAAAACATAGATCCAAAATATTACACAGCTGTTTGCACAAATTATTTATATCTCATTATCTATAAAAGATATCTTGGCTGTTTCATGGAATTGGACTAAGCATAGTGTTTTTCTTGATGTGTACAGATCCTGAAGAGTTCCTCTCTCTCATCATGCAAGAGATTCTCTCTCTAGATCCACCACTTAAACTCTGGTGGGGCACTTTTTCATTGATTTTATTGTATTTTTCAGTAGGGAATAGGGACGGGAATCTTAAGGAATTTAGCTATTCTGCTTCCTTCATGATTTTATTAACTTTTCTTTGTACTTTTTGAGGTAGTGCCAAATAAATAGTCCCAACTCTTTTATTTTTATAAACACTACTAAACAAAAAAGAATTGGTAATATTTTAAGGCCTATTTACACCTGTTCACTTAATGTGTTTTCTCTGATCAGGTTTTACCAATGGAAAATGGAAAATGAACAGTTTTAAGCTATCTGATCAATAAAAACACATGAAGTGACCAAGGCTAAATATGCCCTTAAAGGGTGAGTTCACCGAAAAATGAAAATTACCCCATAATTTACTCACCCGTGATATCAAAAATCCCCTTTTACCTGGTGATGTTCAGATGAATAGGACTTTCTTCTTTCAGCCAAACACCATTGGAGTTCATTCACTCCCATTATAAAGCTTGGAAGAGCCAGAATATTTTTTAATGTAACTCTGATTGTGTTTGGCAGAAAGAAAAAAGTCATATACATCTAGGATGACTTGAGGGTGAGTAAATTGTAGGATAATTTAAATTTTTGGGTGAACTCACCCATTTTGTATCAATATATGGTTACATTTTATTTTAAAGTGTCATTGTTACGGTGTAATTATACATTTAAGTAATTAATAATATTAATTAATAACATGTACTACTTACTGTAGGGTTAGGCAACCTGACATCATGACTTTTGCGTAAACATACACGCCAATTTCAAGTCAAGTGGCGTGTTATCTGTAGGCATTTTGAGCTATTTTTGCCGCGTGTATCCGCATGTATGTCTACGCCAGTAATGTCCGAGTGATTCCGCGTGTACACTATGTACACGCCGTTAAATGTCCGAGCGAAATGAAGCGAAATGTAGATCTACTGGGGAGCGATATTTTTTTTTCCTAGGGTGGTAGCGGAACACTCATAAATGCTATTAACCCCAGTGATGGGTAGGTTTAGTTATTTATATACAGTAATAACGTTAAGTCAACGGCGTTCATAAACACGCTGAAAAGCGATTATGTGTGTTGATAGCATGCCAAAAATGGAAATACGAATTGGCGTGTCATACACACGCAATTTCATGAGATCGGTCTGGGTTAGGGTAGGATTAGGATTTGGTTGAGGGTTAGTTGCATTATGCATAATTACTGTTATTACTATCGTAAGTACATGTAATATATCTAACAAGTAAACTGTGTTACCCAATATATTATTACACCAAATCTCTGTTCCTATTGTGTCACCTTTAACTACCCATTGAAAACAATATTTCAGTGTGCGTATAAACCGTTTCTTGTTTCCTACTCATTTTTAGATTAGTAGATCACTTCTGCAAAATATGTATTGGCAAGAGAATGCCTTCTAGTTTATACAAGATTATGTTTTCATATATTTGTATGTATCACTTAATCTGCCTTCAGCAGCCAATCAGAAAGTGGACATAAAGAGCAAAGCTGTTACTACTACCAAATCTTTATGGATTACAACCACCATTTAGTCCTGCCTACGGTTCAACAGCTACTGGAACATTCGTTTTTCAGCAACAGTCTGAAACTAGCCGAGGTATCATTCTTCTCTTTGCATGTTTTGTGTTTGAGATTCTGCTTTCAGTTCTATATTTGTCCTATTTTGCTTGGACATTCAGTGCATGACCTCCAGATGGTACTGTTTCTCTCTGCGTAAATATCTCTGGTGTGACCCAAATGGATAGACAACTTGTATGTGTTTTTCTCGATGTCTCATTGAAATGGATCTACAATCTAGATTTATAAGTTATTATATGTTCAAACTGTTATTATTCCTCCAGGTGCCTGCCTGTCTGATTCTTACCATGCCTCGCTCAGGGAAGAGCTTCAAAATGTTTCCAAAAATCATTCCTTCTACAGAACTGGACATCACAGGTCTTCTCGCTGATGGTAACTTGTCTTAAACGTCTGTCAAATGAATGTCTCGTGGCTTTCCTGTTAATGTATTTCCTGTTTTTTTTTTTTTTTTTTTTTACAAGACATTTGAGGTGTGTGTTTATGTACATTTGTCCTTTAGGTCCTCAGCCGTGTGTGTTGTGTGGTCAGCTAGCAAATGAAGAATGTGCTGAGTGCTTCAGAGACGCATTGTTTAGTGATACAGGATTCAAATATTTCTGTTTGAAATGTTCCACTCAGGTAGGGTGTTAAATAAACATTCAGCATTTATCTGAATATTCTTTACCATTTATATATATATATATATATATATATATATATATATATATATACATGTATATATGAAGAGTTCAGATGCAAAAGCCTCTAAATGCCATATGAAATTTTCTCCTTTAATGATGATTTTTGTCAAACTTGTATATTTAATTTCAGTAATTTCACTTAAATAACAATTAATAGGTAATTATCATTGCCATTTAAGTGAAATCACTGAACTTAAATATACAAGCTTGATAAAAATGATCATTCTAGAAGAAAATTTCAAATGGCTTTTGCATCTGAACTCTTCATATACATATATGTTAAAAGTTAGTTAAAACCACATTTAAGCATGCAACTTGACCTGTAAATTTCACAATAAATATTTGTTTCTACTTTTTATTGCAACATAATCATAAACTATCTTGGAATTGATTTATGTAGGTTCACTCTCACAAGCAGCGTCGATGCCACAAAACTAGAAGCCTGCATCTTCCTCAGGGCTTCTCACAGAGTTCAGGGACTGATTCACGCACTCCTCCACGAGAGAAACTAGAGCTGTTTGCTGTGCTGTGCATTGAGACCAGCCACTACGTTTCTTTCGTCAAATACGGACCTCGGGATACTGACTGGATCTTCTTTGATAGTATGGCTGACCGCGTTGGTAAGTGAATATGTGCTTGGACTGAATTCAATACATTTGGTGAGTATGCACGTTAGATCACAAACTTATCTGTTTGTAGGTGAAAGCAATGGCTATAACATTCCAGAAGTGCGGGCATGTCCAGAGGTTGGCCAGTACCTACATATGTCACTGGCTCAGCTGGCAAATAAAGTGCCTCGAGAGATGGAAGGTGTGGCAAAGCGACTCTTTTGTGACGGTTACATGTACCTTTATCAGAGCAAGAGCATGTCTCTGTATCGATGATTGAATCAACACGTATACATCAATAAATGAGAATCATACTACTAATGACTAGGTCTGCTTGGTAATGGATTCTAATAATAATATGTTATATTCAAGGAAATTCATGAAACTATTGCTTCTGCTCCATATTTGAGCATTTATCAGTCAAATATTTCTGCTTTCTATCAAATTAGTTTCCCATATGGCATTGCCTGGGTGGGTGGTACATACTGTTTAAACAAGCTGGATTAGCATGATACAGTTGATATCTTTTAAGTAATTTGGACTTGGAAAAAAAGAAGACTCCAATTCTCAAAGTGCCTTAGTAATACAATCATTTTCTACTCTCCAAAATCTTACAAAAAAAAATATTTTATTTTCAAATGTGTATTTCTATAACTGTGAGCAGACCTACTGTAGCTTGCTGCCTAATTCTCGTAAATAGAAAACAGGGTCAAGATATTTTTGTTTATATTGAATACTGACAAGATAAAGAGTTTATTTCTATAAAATGTTGATGACTTAATAAACGTGGATTGATCTTTATTTTCAAGTGTTAATGTTTTTGAAGTCCATTCTGTATAAAGATTTTGGCTACTGAATGACATTGTGAGCCATATGGTTTGTAATCACAGTGTCATAAATTATCTGTTATATCTGAATATTTTGATTTATTTTTTTAGATATCCATTCATTATAAATATGTTTTCCTGTGTTTATCTACTGTATATGATTCTATGAAAAATATCAACCAATTAAATAAATATATCTTGATATCTCCCTCATTGTGTGGTTGTGTGAGAGCCATAGACATCAGCTCATTACATTGCTCCCTTTACCAAACAAGGATAAACCTGGATAAGACTGCTTGTTTGTGTCTTTCACTACATCATCACAAACCATAATTGAAAGAACAGTAAAAAAAAAAAAAAACAGCAGGACTTCTAATGAAATATTTCCTTAAGATTGTCACTGGATACTTTAGGTGCCTGAAGCATCAGGCTTCACTGTAAACATTCACAGGAAATTATAATATTAATTTTCTTCCCATACGGAGATAAATGACTTCCTGACACGATCTTTCCTGGAGCTTTAATCCATGTTAGATGCAAAGTGAGTTTAGACAGTATGTTTTTTTAAAGAATTCCTAAAGTGAGCATGACAAAAAATGTAACCTAATCTAAATGTAAAAATAGGGGTTATTAAATAAAGCAGTTACATCACTGAAATTATAGTAAAGTTAGTCCACGGCCACACCCTCGTGTCATGGTGCAAATTACACAACGAAAATGAGAAAATCACTTAGATTTAATTTTTTTCAAATGTTAGTTTTTGAAGTCACAATATAGTACAAGTAAATTTGAAAAAAAAGGGAGAAAAGGCAACTATCCATAGATAATGTAAATGAAAAAAACAAGAAAAATTAATTTCTAGTTTCCATTTTTCATTTTTGCAAGGTCAGAAAATTGAATTGTGACACGGACGTAGAATTTCCCGCCGAAATCCAACAGCACCACTGGAATTAAAAACATTATTACAAGCTTACCGTTTTGAATCGAGCTAAGCAGTTTTGAACACTGGCTGGTTATGTATTTTCTCAAATATGTATTTTGGATAATTTTCAACCCCAAAAAAGCTACGGACTGCAGCTTTAAAAAATGTCTAAAAGCAAACTAATGTTCTAAAATGCGTCTTTACGGAGACAAAAATGGTTGTGAATGCCACTTTATGACTTTAATTGGTGTGCAGCTACCATCTAAAAGACAAGAAATTAAGTTCAGTTAAACAATAACTGTCACTTTCAAACTACTGTATATCCTCTTTTGTCTTCTCAAGCACCCACCATGCTCTTATATTCACTTCCTTTTTCTTTCTTGCTTTCTCTTTTCATTAAAACTCCTTCCTTTTTTATCCATACTGTCATTGTGAAGCCCCTTGCATTGATTTAGAACAAAGCGAATTTGTGAATACACAGCCAACATGCTGAATTCACAAAACGTTGTCAAAGACATAAGACAGAACAGACAAAGCTCTGCTTTACAGGCACAGGAAATGTGTTAATGCTTGACTCTAAATCAATAAAGCGCTGCCTGCGTGATGACCTCATTATGCAGATAAAGCTCAGCACTCAATGTCAACTGAATTCACCTGACAAATCTGCTCGATCTCTCTTTAATAGAATTAACTGTAGTGCCAGGATATGAAAATGTTCTCATTTGTGTCATCAGTTGATTGTATTACACAAGTGTTGTGACATCCTTTCCCTTAATTGAATCAGAAGTACTTACTTACACATATTTTTGCTTTTAATGCATATTGGAGAGCACTGGTCCTTGAATCCTTGATGTTAAAAATGTAGAAGTTAGAAAGGAGAATTGGGCGTGTGATGGGATGGAAGAGCAAAAACAAATAATTGTAATTTAATATGAATGCTTTTCAGTGACATGTTTGTCACATCACAAAAGGTTATTCAATGATGCTTACTAAAAAGAAGTCACCAGGGAAACCAAGGTTGTGCTGGGCCATTAAAAGATATTCCATTCACATATCATTGTCAGTTAGGTTCCTATAAGCTCAGCTGCTGGGACACTAAGCAATAGTTATGAGTAAAATCTGATGTGGATGTTTCTGATTCTATCACACAACTCGTGGACAACATGGTAGATTTAGAGCTGATTCTGTTTAGACAAGAGATGGCTAGATGGCTTCTCTGGCTATAGAGATCTATGGCTATAGAGGGACCCAGAAGGAATTATGATTGTCAAAAAGCAAAAATGAAGAGTTCAGATGCAAAAGCCTCTAAATGCCATTTGAAATTTTCTTCAAGAATGTTAGATTACCTATGAATTGCCATTTAAGTGAAATTACTGAATATAAATATACAAGCTTGATAAAAATGATTATTCTAGAAGAGAATTTCAAATGGCACTTAGAGGCTTTTGCATCTGAACTCTTCAAATATAGTCAATTTAAAAGATCAATCCAGCAAATGCATGAAAGCTTAATTTACTTTCCAGCTGAGCTGGAATACACTCAGGCAATCCAGGGGGCATTTAATTGAATTTATTGACAGGATAGCCCCTTGAGATGAACATCTCATTTTCAAGGGGGTCCTAAAAACATAAGCAATTTACAACACAGACAACATAAAACACAACAACATTACAAAACAAAAAAACAAAAGAAAAAGAAAAAGAACACTACAAAACGAAAAACCTCAACCTGCTTCCCACACTCTTGTGGGCTTCTCACACCCGAAACATAGTTTCAGTAGTTCATTAAAGAATCTCATCATCATACATCACCAACAGAGCCATGTAGTAACAGCAAAAGATCCTCAATTGAATCTAAACAGAGAGAAAACACAACACCATTTACACAACACCATTTTCAAATACAGTAAAATTTATACATTTGAGCTGTTCATTTACACAACGGCAAGGCACAGCTTTTAAAGTACAAGTTTTTTAAAAAAAACTGCAAAATGTGAATTTATGAAAAAGGTGATAACATGCGCATGCGTATTAGTGTTTATTTACAAAGTGGGATGGCAGCATTTTATTTTATTTTTTTTGTCTTTTTCACGGATCTGTGTGAACAGATCGAAATTGGTTTGACAGTGTTTTCTTCTGCACATGAAACATCCTGTTAACATACCCTCAGTTTCAGCTGGTCCAGAAAGTCTCTTTTTGTAAAAGAATAGGTGGTTCTTGGCCAGAATTGGTTGCAGGGAGGACCAGATTTTGGGCTACAGTTCAAACATCTGAATATACAAAACTCTGATTCAGTTAGAAACTTGCTTCAAGGTCTCGGAACAAAACCTCAATAAACCCTTAACACAACAACTCTCCCTTATTATTTGCCAAGGCACTATGTGTTATGATTTACTGAGATGAACCCCAGCGCAGACAGTTTGTCGGTGAGATGTGCATGTTTCAGTTCTCATTCTTGGCCATGCAAGTCATTAGTAATATTTAATACTAATATAAAAATATATGAACAATTATTAGTTTCTAGCAATATGTTATTTTTTTTATATGTGATTTATATGCAGGCGAAACATTTCTAATCTAATAAGATGCAGTAGGTGCTATTGGGGACTACACTTTTGTTGTATTATCTATAATAATAATAATAAATGTTTTCAAATTTTGTAAGATGTATTTATATGTAGTCTTTTTTGTAAGAAATTCTATTTTGTATTTCTGCATTTAAAGTCATTAGGAGATAAGAAACAATACTACTTCTACTACTAATAATAGTAATAATAAATGCCATCCAGCCAACTATTGTAAAGCAACCTGAGTATTACACAATTTTATGTTTTTGGTTACATTACAACTATTGCTAAAATAAAAGGCATCAGGCAACATTTTGGTCCATTCTTTGAAATTGATTGGCTGAGAGTCCATCAGCCCTTGGACTTTCCACTTTTTGGGCCTGTCCCAATACCCATAATTGCCGTATTTGTATGGCCACTTGCCTATAACATCACATTTTCTGTATTTCCCAAGTGTTCAAGTGAAGACCACACGACCACAAGTGGATGTTAAACTTTTGATTATGGGGCGTATTTACTATTTAGAGTATTGCAACAAAAAAAAAAGAAAAGAAAAAAAAAGGTTTTACAGAGCTTTATTTACACATTTTGATTTTCTATAGGCTAGGGAAATCCATCAGTTCATTCATTGTCAATTTCATATCCTTTGTACACTCTTAGAAGAAAAGATTCTATATGTTCTGTCAAGCTGTATCAAAGCTGTATCATATGTTCTGTCAAGCTGTATCTGTCATATACTGTATCAAACTTTTTAGGGGTTCCCATCATGGGTTAATTTTATGGATTTAGCAGCAGGAGGGCCAAAGCCTATAGCATCTCAGGCCAAAGGCCAGTTGTATTTAAGTTATTAAATGCATTACATACATTTCAATCAGCACAGTTATTTTATCACCTTTGGGAGCAGATGCCGTAATTTTCAACATCATTATCTGTTCCATGGGAATTTTTGTCTAATTATTTTAAGATAGATAAAGAGAGTTCCTAAAGATTGTCAAGTGTTTGGTAGTTTGCTTTTTCTAGTTAATCACTTCCAATTTGTTCCAATTTGTCCCAAGTTCCAATTTGTGTACACAAACTCCTCTGCAACTCCACAAGAAGGTATTTATGGACAATTTGTGTTACCATGACACCATTTGCACTACATGAGACGTGCAATGCATGAGACGTCAATGATGTCCATTCCAAACATGCATCTAATTAAACACACAAGATGAATGGCAATGGCTTCATACACATGAATTTACATTTGGCCTTATTTGTATTTAATGCATGTTTTAGTACAGTATTTTACATTTTTGTCGCCCTTGCTCTTTTCTGTTAGTGTCCTTTAGGTTTTACATCACAATTGTGAGTGTGTGTCAAATGAAGCTAACATATAACATAATATAATTTGCACATGTGTTTATGGCTACAGGCTACATTACTTTTTCTTTTCTTTTTTATGCAAATGTATGTCATGTGTATGATTTGTTTTGATCCAGTTTCATTGTGTTCTGTTTCTGTTTGCAGTTAGTTTGTTAATTAGTTTATGTTAAGCTCTTTAGTTTTCTGTGTATATAAGCCCTCTGTTTCAGTTTGTTCCTTGTCTTGAACTGTTTGATGTTAAAGGTGCGGTGTGTTTTTGTAATTGAGGTATAAAAATATCCCAAAAATGAGCTACACGCATTAAAAGAATGAGAAGAAATAAGGCCGATGATGTCATTAAAAACATGACAAGTTATAGTG